TTAATCAACCAGTGTGTTGGAATAAATGATTTGACATTTTTCTCCTTTAAGTGGGGTTAAGTTTCATCCCTATGAATGGAACAAATATTCGTTAGGAGTACTTTACTTTTTATGGGTCAATCCGGTACGGTTAGGATTTAATTTAATATAGAACTAATTCACTTTTAGTCAATCCAATACCCGCTCGTTTGTATGTCTTCGCCATACTAAATAAATTAATAAAAAAAGTTACATAGCGAGCATTTTTTTTCTGATCTTAATAATATTCTTGGGAAAGTGTATTTTCAAGAAAATAATTTTAAAAATATTAAATTATGATATTTAGATGATAACAGAATTTCTCTAGAAATTTAATATAATTGTATTTAGTTAAATTATGGAAAATAAAAAGAAAATTCAATACCATTTTAAATTTATTGTGCATGTTCAGGGAATGCATTCATCCCCAAATTCCACAGCTAGCAGTAATTAGATTTTTAGAAAGTATTTGAAACTTGTTGACCTCAAAGATAAGATGTGTCAAAATGGGACCATTATAAGAATAGATATTCATGACCACATTATCGGAGATCTTGAAGGCATCCAGGTTGCCTATTTCTATGGTGATTTTAGAGTTTCTTTTTTAAGTGATAGATGAATGAATTTTAATTTTTTAAATCAGTGTTCCTTAAAATAGGATTCATCATAGTACGAGTTACGAGTACGGAGTGTTGCACTTTGTAAATTTACGATATGGGATAAGCTATACGGATACTTGCTTTGATAAAAAAAGTTTTATTAAATTCACTTTGAATCATATACACGAGAAATAATATAATTGAAAGCTTATTTTATTATATGGGATAATTGTTTAACTTTGTTTTAAAAAAAGAAACTATTTAGTAAATTTAAAAATCTATTAAATATGCTCACTGACTAATTACTATAGTTCAAAAATTTAAAAGTTTAAGATTTGAAGATATTTAATTAAAATTTTGACTATAAGTATTATATAGCAATCGATTCGCTCGATTTGCTAGCTTTGGTGTTTTGGTATGCATATGTACCGTGCTTGGATACCACGTTGAGAAATCCAGTACAAGAGACTATTTTAAACCATGGTTTATGCTTTGATTGAATTATGGCCAACTTTCGACAAGCAACAAGCTATCATGGACTAGGATTGCTTTGGTATATATGTTGTTAGCATTCGATTCAACCTAAGTGATCCAATCATCTAATTTAGCAGGTTTAAAGACATAATGAATTGAATTCGGAGAGTCATTTTTATCATTCATAAATTGGGCTTGATCACGGGTTTTTTAGATAAATCCGCAAATTTGATCCAATCCATAAATAATATTATATATATAGAGAGATAATTTGATTTGATTTGCAATTTTAAATATAAATATTAAATTATTACTTTTTTTTTAGTATAAACTTGTTTTGAATTGTTGTTATCGGAGATTATTGTAGCTTAAAATATATTGTATAATTATGTTACTAAGTTTTTATTTTATTTTACGGGTCGTCTTTCTTATTAGGAATATTTAATTTTTCATTGTTGTTACTTATTATTATTATTATTATTATTAAGAAATTTAATTTTAATATTTTATCATATATTTTGTGAAAGTTATTGTATAATTATTTGAGGGATGAGAGAGAAAACATGGGAATGAGAGAAAAGAGAAGGAGAGGTGAGAAAATTGATGTTTTACTTACACGTAATATTTTTATCAATAATAATTGCCACATGTCGAGTATCTGTTATTCTAGTCCCCAAAAATCAAATTTAAGGGCCAAAGGGATTTTGTTGGTACATGAATAATACTGACTCGTTCCATAATAATTGTTAAATTTAAAAAAAATAGTTTGTTTTAAAATATATGTTACATTTGTAATTTCAATGAGTAATAAATATTTTTTTTCATATTTATCATTTATATATAATCAATAATTATCGCTTCAATTTAATGGTTTTCTTAGAGAATTAGTATTAAACTAAAGATAATATAGTCAATTTACTCAATAAGGTATTGTAATTTGAACAAATTTAATGATTTTCTTAGAAAATATAAAATTCTAAACGTAACAAGTACGATGAAATAAAGATAGTAGTTTAGAGATTTTAAGTAACAAATTGAAGTTTATGGATAATAAAGTGATACGCAATATAGTTTAGGAACTATAGATAAAATTAAGTCCTCAAAGCAGGCAATCAGGGAACTTGCCCCCACTTAAATTTCAATGAAAATGTATGCAAGTTTTTTGCTTTTAAATTGGGTTCCAAATATGAAATTCCTAATCTCTTTGACTAAGGATTAAAAGAGATTAACTTTATAAATTTATTGCAGCAGTAATAAAAAATAGTGAATGTGATTATTTTGATTTAGAAAAGGACTTTGAAGAAAACTTAGAGGAAGAAGATTTCGATTCTTATACAATTATATACTCGAACGAATTGAAAATTTTTCATGTTTTCGCTTCCTTAATTGTCATTTTATATAGTTTATAATCGATCTTATTTGTAGTTTTTTTTTTTTTTTTTTTTTTTTTTTTTTTTTTTTTAAAAATTTTTTCAATGTTTTCGCTTCCTTAATTGTCATTTTATATAGTTTATAATCGATATTTGTAGTTTTTTTTTTTTTTTTTTTTTTTTTTTTTTTTTTTTTTTTTTTTTGAGCTTTTGCTTCCTTTCATGGCGATGAATTTTTTTTTTCCTCCTTTTTTTCCCTCTCCAAGTTGAGGATTTGATCTTTTGGTTGATATTGATCATTGAGCATTATGCCTAAAAAAAAAAAATTAAAATGACAAATTAATTATTCTTACTTTTTACTAATTTTTTTATTTTTTAATTATAGTAGAATTTAGATTAATTGTTCTATAAATGGTAAGTTATGTTCGAATTCAGCGAACTGATTGATTTAAAGAGTGAAAAAATACTTATAAAAAGAGAAGCAACTATCTAAAAATATCTCTTCATTCAATTGGTGTGTAAGGGGAGAAAATGTGGTCCTTGAAACTTAGGCCTCTCAAATCTGAATGGAAAGCTGCTAATCTCATAAATTGCACTACACAAAGACAAAGACAGAGACATCTCTTTCCTTTCTCAGTGCAACAATGATTAATAGAGAAGGTCCTTGAAGCAAAGTTTTTATTATGATTTCTTGAAAGGCCAACCTTTCTCACCTCAACAAACACTTTAACATTAAATTTATTAACCCCACTAGTTTAATAAATGAGGAAAAACCAGTAGACAACTGATTGAATTAATCATTGAAAAGGGAAAAAAATATTGCTTTAGTTATTTCTAATTTAGCAATCATCTTTGTTGATTAAGGATTAAAAGGAATTATTAACTTTATACCTCTTTCAAAAAAAAAAAAAACTTTATAAATTTATTGCAGCAGTAATAACAAAATAAGAAATATGGTGATTTTGATTTAGAAAAAGATGAGGTAAATTTACCCGTTGTTTAGAATAAATGAAGTCCACAAAATTTTAAGTAATTCATTTAGAAATCTATATTGTTGTGTTTGGAATAAAAAAAAATATAAATTTCAATTCTAAGAATTCAATTCCATAGAATTGGACATGATTATACAAAATTCCATTAAAAAAAAAAAGGTGAAATTTCCTGGATTCCACCAAACTAAGGAATTTAACTTTTATGACAAAACCACTCTTCTCTATCTACAAAATCAATTTTATAATTTTTTTTATTTATTTGAATTATTTATTTTATCGAAACTTGACCAAAATTTATTTTTTTTTTAGAAAAATCTTTTCTTATTATTGTGTTTTTATTTTAATATTTTTCATCTTTTATTTTAATATTTTTTAGCATTTTTAATATTAACGAGAGAGATTCAAGTTAAATATCCATTTATCACTAAATTAAATGCAATAATTTTATTAATATTATATATTTATTTTAATAAAAATATACAATAATTTTATTAATATTATATATTTATTTGTAATTAAAAATAATTATATATTTATTTTAATAAAAATATAAAAAATTATGTAGCATAATATAAATATAATTGGTATTTATTATGAACTTGTTCTATACATGTTTGTGGAATTCAATTGAATTAAATATTTTAAATTAATCATATCAAATACGAAAATTTATTCACAAATAAATTTAATATTCAAATTCATTTATACCGAACGGAGCATTAGAACAACAGGAGAGCATTAGAACAACAGGATTCGATTCTTGTTTAGTTATATGTTTTTCATTTTTATTTTCTGTTTGATTATTATTTTATATAGTTTATAGTCGTTCTTTTTTGTAATTTTCCTTGAGCTTTTACTCCCTTTTAAAAAAAAAAATACTAATGCAAAACCAAATTTACTATGATATTATGACCATTCGGAAGATACTTCCAATTGCCAAGATAGTTGTCGATCATGCAATGTATCTTGGTTTTTTATTGATTACTATTTTCGCCGACACATAAGAATTTAAAACGGACAGCAATGATTTTAGAAGAAGACCATAACTAATGAATTCACCCATAATACACAGACTTGTCGTATATCGAAAAAATATCCTCGAAAGGCTAACCCTATCAAACCAAATACAGTCAAAAAAAGAAGGAAAAGGAGGATTGATTTTTCATAACCAGATGGCTTTATCTTGAAAAATAAAACAGCAAATAGTCCTTTCCACTGGTATTCATCAAATAGATTCTGATGTTAGAGGTTGACAAAAGCTGACAGTAGCTGATTAGCAGTTTCTCAGAAATGGAAAGACAGGTAGCCATCATCGGAGCAGGCATTAGCGGTCTCCTTGCCTGTAAATATACTCTGTCAAAGGGTTACCGGCCGATCGTATTCGAGTTACAGAACAGCATTGGAGGAGTGTGGACTAAAACATTTGAGACTACTAAGCTCCAGACTCCAAAAGCACTCTATCAGTTTTCAGATTTTCCTTGGCCATCTTCAGTCACAGAAGATTTCCCTAACCAAGATCAAGTCTTGGACTATCTTCTATCATATGCTCGCCATTTCGACTTGCTACGACACATCAAATTCAATACTAAAGTTGTCAGCATAAGCTATGAGGGAGTTTCTGAGGAAGAGATGGAATCTTGGGAACTTTGGGGTGGCACTGGTGATCCTTTTAGTTCAAAAGGGAAATGGAATGTCACAGTAGAGGACACCCAGAGTCTTTCAATTGAAGTATCTATGATCCTTTTAGTTCAAAAGGGAAATGGAATGTCACAGTAGAGGACACCCAGAGTCTTTCAATTGAAGTATCTATAGATAATACTATTGGTTTTTCTAATGAGTGCCCTTAGGATATTAATTAAGAGAGCAGTTAATTCAAACAGTTAAACAAACTAATATAGAGAGTTGTATTGAAGAAGTTGCAGAGACTGAAATGATTCTTGCATATGCAGGTTTACCAAGTGGACTTTATAATTCTTGGATTAGGACGGTTCAGCGATGTTCCTAACATTCCACAGTTTCCTCTGGATGAGGGACCCCAAGCATTTCAAGGGGAGGTAGTACACTCCATGGACTATGCTGCTATGGACCATGAAACTGCAGCAAATTTCATCAGAGGGAAGCGAATAATGGTTGTTGGCCTCCAAAAATCTGCACTGGACATAGCAATGGAATGTGCATCCGCAAATGGTAATTAACTATCTCTTCAGTTTTCCATTAAATCGACAAAAAGAATATTAATAAATTTCTTCTCACATAATATTTTCCAGGAGTGGAACTTCCTTGTACTTTGTTATACAAGACTGAACATTGGCTCCTCCCCGATTTCCTTCCATGGGGAGTGCCTCTTGCTTATCTGTATCTTAATCGATTCTCAGAGCTTTTGGTTCACAAGCCTGGAGAAAGCTTCTTTCATTATATATTAGCAACGTTTCTTTCACCCTTGGTAATGTTTCAGCCTTTGCTCTTGTTGCATTATTAGTAACTGATTGGAAATAATCTTTGTCTGTAATCATTTTCTATTAGAGATGGGTATTTTCTAAATTTGTTGAAAGTTATATCAAGTGGAAGCTTCCTTTGGCCAAGTTTGGAATGGTACCTGAACAGAGCTTTCTTCAACAAATGAGTTCTTGTTTGATCGCAATAATGCCAGAAAATTTCTATAAGAAAGTGGAAGAGGGAAGCATCATTTTGAAGAAATCGCACAATATTAGATTCTTAAAAGATGGGGTTTGTGTTGATGGTGAGGCTTCTCCTCTAAAGATAGATTTAGTTATATTGGCTACAGGATTCAGAGGAGATAAAAAACTCAAGGAGATCTTCGCATCTAAAACCTTTCAAGATCTCATAGCAGGATCCCCAAACTCAACAGTTCCTTTATACAGGTTGGTGTTTAACTAAAACCTCTGTTTTATAAATTCAGTATCCATATTAAGTTTGAATCTTCTTTTTCAGAACTGCATTTTATTTTATGTTTTAACTGCTGGAAAATCACGATTCGGAAAGCGATAAAAGAATCTCTCTTCCTTCCCCAAAACTATAGCTTTCTGAGTCTTATTGAACAAAATTTCTTGTTAATGAGAGATTGACATGATAGCTATGATTACAGGGAATGCATTCAACCCCGAATTCCGAAACTCGCAGTAATCGGATTCTCAGAAAGTATTGCAAATTTATATACCTCGGAGATTAGATGCCGATGGCTAGCTGAACTTCTTGATGGTACATTCAAACTACCTAGCATCAAAGAGATGGAGGAAGATTTGGGGAAATGGAACAATTACATGAAGCGATACTCAGGCGGACAATATAGAAGATCATGCATTGGTGCTCTCCATATATGGTATAATGACCAGTTATGTAAGGACCAGTTATGTAAGGACATGGGTTGGAACCCTAAAAGAAAGAAGGGACTTCTTGCTGAACTGTTTGAGCCTTATGGTCCTATGGACTATGCTTCATCTCAGTGAAGCTTATTTGTCATCAGAACCATTATATCTGTAATTGCATGATTAACTTCCAGATATAAGAAATAAAAGCGAACGAGAGTCTCATCAATAGAATCATTGGCGGCAACAGGAGATGTTTCTGTCTTATATTAAGAAAGAGTATAGTTAAAATTTTGCTGATCTTTCATGCTCATATTGCTTAAGTAGAACAAAGAAGAAACTCGGCAAGCTTGCTCAACAATTGGAAATGATTGTTAACTGATTTTAAAAAAATGAACAATTCAAATGTGCAACAAAAGGAAAAAATTAAATGCACAATTTACTGCTGAATCAACATATTTGATGAAATAGATAATCAAAAAAAAAAAAAAAAAAAAAAAAATAGATTAATAAAATGATGATTGTTTAAAAAAATGAGGAAGGTCTCCATGCTGAAAACCAAAATTATCAGCCACCCTGTGAGAATAAATTGCTCTAAGCTTTCTCAATCTGCCTGTATGTGCAATACTCCCAACTGTCCAGCAATTGATTCGCGATCATTCATTGTCAATTGGCAAGCTGGAAAAACAATACATAGAAACAAATAAATCAAACAGACACATAGGCACATATACATACTGAAGAATTTACAGAGGATTAGTGCTAGATTTATATATTTTAACTTCTGGATATATCTAGCCAGGTGCTTAAATTTTGTGGCATAGCTTGATCTAAATAGAAAGTTAGGACAAGAAGAATGATATAAATTTCTTTAATCAGGTATTTTGCTCGAAGATTTAAGCAAGCTGTTGTTACAGTATAAGTAAGCCCCAGTAACCAGAGACAGCGTTGAGAGAAAAAAGAGAAATTTTTGGAGATTTGAGTATGAGAGAGGAAATTTCTGTGTTAAAAACATTTTGTTGAAAATAAAGAAGCAAAAGGAAAAAACAAATTCTGCAGTTTTCAGATTTTCCTAGCAGTTTTCAGAAATTCCATCACCATCTGTACGAGCATGTCCTGGAAGCACAGTACTTCACTTTATACCTTTCAAATGATTTCTCTTTTGGTAAGAAGCTACAATCAATTACATTGTAGTTGGGACAAACACCCAAGTCAATTTGTTTGCTAAAGTTTCCCCTAAAATGCAATGAACTTTTCTAGGATCCTATGTTTTTTCTTTTCGCATAACACTAAATTAATATGAGATATTTTTATTGATTAAAAGTGAAAGTGGATAGTTAAAATATATTTTTAATATAAATAGTAGGATATTTAAAATTATTTTAAACACAATAAATAACATTTTAAGATAATTATTTTTATAAAAATCTATAGACGGATCTTAATGCATATTAAAAAAATTTGTCATATTTTTTAAGCAATTGATTATGTCTTTTATGGATTTTACAATAAAATTTTGAAAAGCACAAATATTAAATTTTAAAATTAAAAATTAAGGTGAGCCTATAAATTTGTAAATTTTAAAATTAAAAATTAAGGTGAGCCTATAAATTTGATTATCAATCACTATATTTTTTAAATTTAATATTTTAATTATTTATGAAAAGAATATTTTATATTTTCTTGTTGATGAACATCTAGTATTGATATCTTTCATATTGGCAAAAAAAAAGTTTTTTATTATAATAATAAATATAATTAAATAATACATTAATAAGGAACCATCAAATTTTATAGATAGTAAATTATTATATATTTTTAGATCTAATGGCCCATATTTAAGTAATTTAAATCTAATGGAAGATAACCACCGTTGTATTTGTTAAGAATTTCTCATTATGAAGTGTGATTGCTAAAATATAAGCATGTCTCTTTGTGCAAGCCCAAAATGTAGAAGTTAGTAAAATCAAGATATTGAATTATGATAGTACAAGTTAAGGGGAAAATTTAACGTAATGCTCTCCACTCGCAGAAAAAAAACAATGTTCTATTAACCAATTGGCCAGACTACTGTCCATGGGAGTTCTCACTGAAAAAACTCTCAAATGCTATTGTATTTTTTCTGTGTTTCATATGCATCAGAAGCAGAGAATTTATACAAGAATTACAACTGAAATTCTTACGTACTAGGCTGCACCTTAAACTGAAAGATTACAAAATCAAAAACTAAGTTCAAAAACAAAAAATATTTGAAATATAATTCTATTAATATATGACCTAATCCTTTTGGCCAGTAAATATCTTGTTACTTCGCTAATACCCCCCAGGAGCTGATGGTGCAGAGGAATGAAGCCGAAGCTTGTCACAATGTTGCTCAAACAAAGAACGTGATAATGGTTTCGTAAAGAGATCTGCAATTTGATCAGCAGAGCTAATAAATCGAATTATTACAGATTTTCTTAGAACCTGCTCCCTGACAAAATGGTAATCAAGCTCGATATGCATGGTTCGAGCATGGAACATAGGATTTGCACTGAGATAAATTGCACCAACATTGTCACACCATAAAACAGTTGGTGATGTGAGAGGTAAACCAAGTGCAGTTAATAAACTATTGACCCATAAAATTTCAGCCACGGTATTCGCAATAGCTTTATACTCACTTTCTGTAGAAGACCGAGCAATTGTTGGTTGTTTCTTGGCCATCCACGAAAGTAGATTTCGACCTATGAAAATTGCAAAACCAACTGTTCGATCATCGGGATCACCACTCCAATCACTATCAGAATAACATTGCAATTGTAAATTAGAGTCCTTAGTAAGAAACAAACCATCTGAAGAGGTATACTGCAAGTATCGAAGAAGTCGTTTCATGGCTTTCCATTGATCCTCTGTAGGACAATGCATAAATTGACAAAGTTTGTTCACAGAGAATGCAATGTCGGGTCTTGTCAATGTCAAATATTGGAGACTACCAGCAATCTGTCTGTACAATTTGGGATTATCAAAAGCAAGACCATTCGACTTTGCCAATGGAGGACTAGTGGCCATAGGAGTGAAGCAAGGCTTACAAGTATCCATGTTAGTAGTCTTTAGAAGGTCAAGAATATACTTGTGTTGAGACAACAATATTCCAGTGGCTAAAGTCTTAACTTCAATGCCAAGAAAATAATGAAGGGGGCCTAAATCACGAATAGGAAATACCTTATGCATTTGACCAAGAAACCATTGTAATTGAGAGTCATGAGATGCAGTAACCAATATGTCATCAACGTACACCAGTATGTAAATTGTATGAGAACCATTACAAAGAACAAATAATGATGTATCTGCCTTTGAAGATTGAAAGCCAAGTTCAAAAAGAAAAATAGCCAATCGATGAAACCATGCCCTTGGAGCCTGCTTT